CCTTTCACACCCATACCCCACCAACCCTCCCCCAAAATTCGTGATTTGCGATTGCCATGACAATACGCGTTTGATGTTCGCAAGTGGGGTACAAGATGGCCGTCTCCATTCAACATTGTGAACTGTGACGTCTTGACTGCACCGGTGTGACAAAATGACTCGTATTCATAGTTAAGTATACCTGCTGTGCCGACTGTGGCATGGATTAGGCTTAGATTTGTTTAGGTTTAAGGACCTACTCACCTACCCTGAAGCCTGAAGTTGAAGCCAAGACCCAACAAAAACGTCTCACAAGTCACAAGGTCTAAAACTAGGGAGGGCAAACTTTGGCCTGCAGGCCAAATATGGCCCGCTATAGCGTATGCGGCTCGTTAAAACAATTGATTGAGAAATTTTTTTAAAAGTAAAAGGTAGATTTTTACTTTTACTCCCTCTACAGTGGGATCAAATTGCTGTGGCCTATTCTCAGCTGCAGGTCACTTATGCTATGGCCAGTAAAACTGTCTCAAATCAATTATTTAAAAAAAAATTATTAACCTAATAGATCTAACAAAATATCTAATTATGGCGGAAAACAGGGCCTGCCCCCTGTTACTTACTGTAACCCTCCAGATTGTTTTTTTTACCTCCGGGGGGGTACCCCCTCCCTTAAACCTCCTGATTGGTCCACAGTCGTGGAAATTACAACGCAATCAGGCTTAGTGTGATGAAGTTTGAATTATAAACACCATGAAATATTTCAATTACTATTAATTTGCAATGAATATGATGTTAATATATTCATGTAAAAAGGATAAAAATGAAAAATAAAAAGGCTTTGCAAAAGCTTAGCAGCATGAGACTGTAGTGGAAGTAAAAGAATACCTTTTAAAAAGGAAACAAAATAATTGTTCGCAATATTGAATATGGCCACATTTATTGTCAATGACAATAGTCAGTAATACTACAGTCTATAGTGTCACTTTTATAATATAAGTTTTAAAGAAAAGATTGGAAAATTTGTACTTTCTCTTGCATGCAGATATACACTGTCTTTGGGGGGGGGGGGGGGGGGGGGTGTGCGCTAAACTTCCATATTTTTGGCTGCAGAACGGTCATGTGACTACTAAAACTGTCGCAAATCAATTGTTTACAAGATAATCTGAGTCCTAGATCTAGGCCTAAGTGCAAAACAGCAAATTAAAAGGGGGGGGGTGCATTCCCCCTGCCCCCCCCCCACCCCCCCCACCCCGAATATTTTTAGAAGGTATTTTCCTCTAAACAATACCCTCAACTTTATTTTTTAGAAACACACATTACGCAATTAGGTCAATTGTAATATAGTTCGAAAAAAGCATTAAAATTCACAAAAGCTAATAATTTATGACAGGTATAAAGTCTAGATTCTTGTAAAACGGGTAAAAATGAATAAAAGTATACTATACTTGAGCATCGAACGAAAGTGAAAGTAAAAAATATAATTCCAAAAGTTTTTTTGTTGAAGTTTTTTATTTATAAAGATACAGACTGATGGTCAGGTTTGTTGGGAGTGGTGAAATATCACCACACTGCTTGTAAGTGGTCTAAGGGGGCTCCAGCACAAAAACTTTCCTGGATAGCCTGGGGTGTGAAAATGATTTATTTTTAATACTACATGCTGCCCTCATCATAGGGTCAGTTGAGAAAAAAGTTCCTTCCTGGAAATGCTATAGATGCAGGGGAGGGGTGGCATTTGTTGATTGTGCTTATAACATCAATGGATGGACGTAATGGAGATGTTCAAGGGCCATTCTAGAAAAAGGGACACACGTAATAGGGATTTGTAATCTGCTGAAAAAAATCATAAGGAATTCAATAGAGTTCTTCTTTTTTTTCTTTTTTTTTTTTGTAAAGGATGTTTGCATTCTACAAGAAAAGAGTAAAAAATACCCTCTATAAAACTGCTCAGAATTGTGTCAGTTGGTTATCATTTCCATATGTAGTCATTTGTCACTTTTCATGGAATTGTCCTCAATCGTTTCTGTTTTCATTTGGTAAAACAGTGGTCCTGTGAGTGAGTTGCAAGCTCTGGGGTCAAAATGTGTAGAAGTAAGACTAATGCATGCAATTATCAGAAAGGCTTGGATAGCTCTTGGGAAGTATGTTTTAGCCACTGCTTGCTGACCGGACAGATGACCGTGATCCCACTGCGTGCAGGCTGGCCCTCTGGGGACACCCCTTCTGCTTCACCAAAATTCCCCTGTCCAAGACAGAAAAGTGTGAGACTTAATTTTTTCCAGGCTATTTTGCGATTCGTCTTTGACAGGTTCTACTATGTCCTCTCAAACTGTCTCAAGTAAATGGTTTTCAAGAAAAACTAACTGCAAAATATCAAATTATGGGACAGTACGGGGAGGGAAGACATGCTTCTCAGAAAAAAAACTTCCTTCACTCTGCGTGATTACTGTGTATAGTTTAAATTTAAAATATCAATTCTCAAAAAAACTATTAATTTGCAATGGGACAGACATTGTGTACGTCAAAATTCGTGAAAAATGAAGGAGAAAAGTGCTATACAATACCTGAGCATAAGATGGGAGTGATAGATAGTAAAATTATAGCGACAATTATAATATTGCATTGAAGAATCAGGCATGTGGTAACACACCACTCAATAAAGTGTGACCAGATAGAAGCCTTTGTAATCTTTCATTTATCAAACACTCAGTAGTGCTAAAGAG